TGAAGAATGCTTGAATTGTTGTATGCGCTTTCCCATCCAATTCAATAACTTAAGGAGAACTTGAAAGTTAATTTAAGCGAACTTAATTAACTTGGGGTGTTGAGTTTCATGATTGATCGAAAGAACAACTGAAAATTGGTTTATGTGCAAGTATGTCATGTGTTGAGAAGAACCCTCTAGCTAGCCCATCATCCATAGTTTAACCCATCACCCATCAATTCACCTAAATTTGTCTAAGAATCTGTTTAAATTGTTCTTGTTTTGTTTTCCTTATTTTCGTCCAAAACCAAAATCCCCTTTATTTTATTAAGTCATATTAGTTAGTACTTGTTTTAGATTGTGTTTGTAAGTGTTTTAAGTCAAGATAAAATCAATTTTCATCCAAACTTTGTGTTAGTGGGAAAAACTGCCTTAGAGTTGTTTTTAGGCAGTTTTGAGTCTCTATACTTTGTTTTGAGTCTTGTAAGTTAATTTCATACTTTTAAGTTTGTTTTCACATATTTAAGTCAGTTTCAAGTGTTTTAGCAATCCCTCCTAATCCCCGGCCTAGAACGATCCCTACTTACATTCTTTACTACAATTGACAACAAGAGGGTTTAATTTGTGTGTTAAGTTATTTTCGCATCAAATTTTTGGCGCCATTGCTGGGGATTAGCAACATTGCTAATCCCTTGTTATTTCTTTTTTTGTTTATTTTCGTGTGTTTTTATGTTAGTTACTGACCTTGTTTGTTTTCTTGTTTTAGGTACCAGTTTATGACTCGGAGTTCTCATCCGATTCGTGAGCATATCTTGGATTTTGACGACGATTTTGAGAGGACTTTGAGAAGGAATAGGAATCAGCAAGATCGTAACCCACCTATTCCTGAACCTGAGTTGGAAGAACATCCACTTGAAGAAGAGGAGGAAGTGATGTGAAAATTATGTTGACACACAAATTAACCCTCTTTTTATCGATTGTAGTAAGTATGTAAGTAGGGATTGTTCTAGGCCGGGGATTAGGAGGGATTGCTAAATCACTTGAAAACTGACTCAAATACGTAAAAACAAGTTTAAAACACTAAACTAGACTCAAAGAATGCAAAACTAAACTTTAAAACACCAAAACAAACAAAAAGACTCAAAACAGCAAACAAACACTCAAAACTGCCTTAAAACACTTTCTGGGCAGTTTCTGACACTATGCACCAAATTGGACGAATTTGGGTTTTAACTTGAATCAAAACACTTAAAAACACAAAGTAAAACACTTAATAACTAAATTGACACTTTAAAACAAAGGGGGAATTGGTTTGGACGAATTTAAAACAAGACATAAACTTTGTAAAACAAAACAGTTTTGAAAACGAATTTGATTTAAATGAATGGATGGAAGGCTAGCTAAGGGGTTTATCTCCACACATGTTATACTTGCATACAAAACGATTCCCAATTGCTTTTCAATAAACCATGAATTCTCAACGCCCCAAGTTAATTAGGTCCGCTTAAATTAACCCTCAGATTTTCCTTAAGTTATTGAATTGGATGAATTGCATACGACAACCCAAAGCATTCCCCACAAGTCCCCTACATGATTGCATAATAGAGATACACGCAAGAATCATTAAGTTCTATGAAAACCATAAGCATTGACGAAGCACTTGTTACTATGATTGCATGAATGAAACTTATGCCAAGAATTTACTTAACACGATTGTGATCAACAACCTTTACTACTTGTGAATATAAGTTCATAACGATTAGGTGAAATTCCCTTATATCCTAGCATCAAATTCATGCATGCAAACTAAGTGTCGACCCTCAATCAACATACAAGAATAAGTTTTAATTCACATAGATAAGCAAATTGAACTCACAACTTATGAAACGCAATTAGAAGTAATCAAATCATATAGCAAGCATAAAACATGGTTTCGAATCCCCCCCTAGCCAAGGGGGTTTAGTTCCTCATACTTGCAAATAAAACAAAGATAAATAAATTTAAACATTAAAACAAAGATAGAAAACACCTAGAAACGCTCCACAATCCAAGCTCCTTGAATGGCATGCACGGCTCCAAGAGTTCTTCCTTCTTCTCCTTTGCAAACTCACGGCACAAGAGGTATATTTGGGTGAATGGTGTAGTGAAAATATGGTAGAGGATGGTGACTAAATGGTGCAGCAAAAAGATGGTATTTATAGGCTGAAATTCGCAGCCCCTATGTAGCAAAGGAAAATGATTTAAAGGCCTAATTTGTATAGGATAATAACACACAATCCTTGAAGGAAAAGGCTAAGGCTTTTAGAAACCAAGGGGAAAGGAATAATCAGGTTTCTAGAAGTTCTAGAAAGGTTTGGGGCGTCACTTTTGTAGGACAAGGGATAAGGTCTTCTAGAAAGGTTGTTTTGTGGCTGATTTCTAGAAAAACAAGGGATAAGGTATGGCACCTTTGTAGGAGTGGATAAGGGCTTCTAAAAAACCAATTTTAATGTGTGTCCTAATCTAGTTAGAAACCCTCCTAAGTGGCTGAAATGTGGATAGTTTAGGATTAGGATAAGGATAAGATAGGATAGGATAAGGTTTGTTTGGATAAGTTAAGCTAAGATAAGGTTATGGATGAGGTTTTGGATAAGATTCCTTCTCTTGAGCTGATTCTTTGACTTTAACTCTTTTTCTTCACATAGGAAACCTTGCTTGAGTAGGAAACTTCATGTGTCTAGGAATCCATCTTCAATTAGGACTCCTACATTGATTAGGAATCCTTCTTTATTTAGGAATCCTTCATTTAAGCCCTTTACTACTTCAACTAGGAAACTTTGTATCTTCAATTCTTCAACTTCAAAACACATTCCTAGCTTCATCAATCCTTCAAATTCGTCCATCCTTTGTGCTACATATGCATGAACTCCATTCTAGCCCAATTTTTCTCCAAAATGCTCCAAATTGCTTCCTTTTGCTCACTTTGTCTCTAAAACCTGAAAACACATGAAAATAGCTTAAAAGACTAACTTAACTAAGAAAACACAACATAAATGCATAAGAACTAACTAACTAAGGCACATAAATATGCTCCTATCAAATTCCCCCACACTTAGCTTTTGCTAGTCCTCGAGCAAAAAACGAAACAAAACATAACCTAAACCTTCCAACAATCGCCTCAGGGATTTCCAATGGTACATGACACGCCAAAGATCACTACTTACATAGATTTTAGCCATCCCTACTCCGAGCACATACTTAATCATAGTCATCACTTACTAGCTCACATTTAACCAATTAAAACGATGTTTTGAATGTAGTAACATGCCTTAGAGAATCCCTCAATTCCTCACTAGATATACACTCAATTTTCACTCAGATTTTCTAACTACACACCCTACACTAGTTATATGTGAGAAGATTGATGTAAATATGAAAACTAATGCTCACATATGTTATGACAAGAAAAGCATTTTCTGGAATTATGAATGTATGTATATGATCTCATGAATGGAATGCTACTACTTAGATGCGAGAACCAGGGATATCATATGCTCATACCAATTCCAAACTCCACATATTGAAACACATAACAATCAAGATAGAAGCAAAGGGTTGTAACGGGGCTAACGTATTGGCTAACAAAGAAAGGGTAGGATAAACAAACATTCTTAAAGAATAATAAGCAAAGTAAGGAAGTTGACACTTAGAATTCACTTTTGCATGCAAAAATCAATTTTGAAACACAAGGGGAAAACTCATGCAACACTTAGGGCCAAATTCAAGCTTTTTGGACCCTTTCTTCAATAACCAACAACTTAGAGCTTATTTTCTTATCTTTTTCAACTCTTTTTCATACTTTTCACATTGGTTTTCTTCATTTTTTCTTTTTCTACGAATTTTTCTCTTTTCTTTTTCTAACCCGTGCCCTCCTACTTATTTTGGCACACAAAATTTTCCTTCCCCCACACTTAGTTTTCTGCACAATGTTGATCAAAAGGAATTCCCTCTAAGTCATGCTTTATTATCCTTTAAGAACAAGGGTATGGATAGTCCTAATCTAGGCTAGGTAAGGATAATGTGGCTAACAACAAAATAGGCTAAATAAGGCTCAAAGGGGCTAATCCTACAAAAACAAATGCATGGTATGAAGGCTTTTTGGCTCTGGTGGTAACTACTAAACAACTTCATCTTATTAGTTATGCTAATCAATTTTATGCTTTGAATGAAATGGGTATGAGTTCTAATATTTGGATCTATAATGATGACACGCCTTCTAAGTAGCAACCAAGCAAAGAATGATGAGATCATGCAACGACTTTAGAAAACAACAAATCACAGATTATTACTCTCCAAAGAATGTTTAGGCTCAAGTCTCACAGGGTTGTAGCGTTAGTTTGAGTTCCTTCCTTCAAGCATGTTACAAAACTGATTATTTTCCTTTTTGATTACATGTGAATTCATAAGTTATAACCACAACCAAGCATAAACCAAAGAGTAAATCAAACGTCCATCCATGTTTATAACTCTCTTTAACAGTCATGCAATTAAAAACCGAATCCTCATCATTGTGTTGGAAGGTACTCTACGACACAAACAAACAAAAACAACTTTAAAACGACTCTTTTTTGGGTTTTTTTTCAAAACTTTTTCTATTTTTTTTCTTGAATTTTCGGATTTTCTGGTAAAGCCACGTAAAAACACATCAAAACATTCTAAAAACACTTAAAAACAATGAAAAACAACCTTTGAAATGTTAGGTGGTAAAATCCTACGAATTTTGACATAAAAACACTTTGTTTACCCCCCCACACTTAAACCAAACATTGTCCTCAATGTTTCAAACATAGACTCACACAAAAACAAGCAAATAACACAACTAGCAAACATGACAAGTATGGCAAAGTAAAAGCAATAAAGAGTAGGGTTTAGAAACGTAAATCTGATTATGATGCCGGAGCTTCCTAGGTCTTCTTTATTCGCATGGGTTGCCTCCCAAGAAGCGCTTGCTTTAACGTCTTCCAGCCGGACGATGCTTCCAATCAAGCTGGAATAGGGCCCACGGGTTGGAGATTGACTTCCTCCACGGTTTCCTCCTCAAAAGGTGTGAAATATGGCTTCAAACGATGTCCATTGACTTTGAACTCTTGTTGCGTCTTCAAACTTTGAATTTGAACTGCATATGCGGAAAAACATTAGTAACAATAAAAGGTCCAATCCATTTAGAACGCAACTTACCTGGAAATAACCGAAGGCGAGAATTGAAAAGTAGCACTTTCTGCCCGATAGAGAACGTTTTGCTCCGAATCATCCTGTCATGGAATGCCTTCGTTTTCTCCTTGTAAATACGAGAGTTCTCGTAAGCTTCATTCCTAACTTCCTCAAGCTCGTTCAATTGAAGTTTCCTATTAAGACCTGCGGCATCAATGTCCATATTAAAGGTTTTGATGGCCCAATGTGCTTTATGCTCCAATTCAACCGGAAGATGGCATGGTTTCCCATAAATGAGCCGAAATGGGGACATTCCAATTGGTGTTTTGTAGGCCGTACGATACGCCCATAATGCATCATTCAAGCGCAAGCTCCAATCTTTCCGGTTTGGCCCTACAGTCTTCTCCAAAATCTGTTTGATTTCTCTATTTGACACCTCCGCTTGCCCACTTGTTTGAGGATGATAAGGTGTTGCCACCTTATGCGTGACACCATATTTCTTGAGTAGCGCTTCAATGGTGCGATTGCAGAAATGAGAGCCCCCATCACTTATAAGTACCCGCGGCATTCCAAACCTTGCAAAAATGTTAGTCTTAACAAAATCTGCAACCACTTTAGAATCATTAGTACGGGTGGCTCTTGCTTCCACCCATTTCGAAACATAATCAACCGCTAGTAGAATATAAACAAAACCATGAGATGAAGGAAAGGGACCCATGAAATCTATGCCCCACACATCAAAAATTTCAACATTAAAGATGGGACTTTGCGGCATTTGGTCTTTTGGTCCTATATTTCCAGTTCGTTGACAACGATCACATGCAATGCAAAAAGTTCTAGCATCCTTAAAAATAGTAGGCCAATAAAAACCACATTCAAGTACTTTACGTGCAGTCCTTTGAGTGCCAAAGTGACCTCCGCATGCATAAGTGTGACAAAAGTTTAAAATAGACTGAATTTCAGAAGCATGCACACACCTACGAATGATTTGATCAGAGCAATATTTCCATAAATAAGGATCATCCCACACATAATTTCGTGCATCATACTTAAGTTATCACGTTGGTTTTTATTGAACTCACTTGGAATGACTTTAGATGCTAAATAATTAACTAAATCCGCATACCATGGCATACTAACCTCAATGGACATCAATTGCTCGTCCGGGAATGTCTCTGGGATCGGCACAACCTCTTCTTCATGCAGCAAACGGCTCAAGTGGTCAGCCACAACGTTCTCACTTCCTTTCTTGTCTCGGATTTCGATATCGAACTCTTGGAGAAGAAGCATCCATCGAATAAGCCTTGGTTTAGCCTCCTTCTTTGTGAGCAAGTACTTCAACGCACGATGTTGGGGCAATGATTCCAAGGCAGCCACAAGCTCGGCATGCTCCTCCTTAGGTACGGCCAGATTGGGCTTTATGCCAAGTCCTTGTGCTATCGTCGTTTCAAGGGGATCGTCTTCCAACATATCAAGATAATCCTGCGCCAATTCATCCAATATATCAATAGAAAAACAAGAATGATCATCTTTAGGAAATTTCATAGCTTCAGAAATGTTAAAGTTAATAATCTCCCCATCAAATTCCATTGTCAACGTCCCTTTGAACACATCGATCTTGGTGCGTGCTGTTTTCATGAAGGGCCTCCCAAGTAGAATCGGCAATGGGGTGACATTTGGTGAGTCCTCCATCTCTAAGACATAGAAATCCACTGGAAATATCAAGTTATCCACCTGCACCAACACATCTTCCAAAACTCCTTTCGGATATGCATTAGAACGATCTGCTAATTGAATTATAACACCATCGTTTTTAAGCTCTCCTAAGTTCATGGATGCATAAATTGAGTATGGCATGACGTTAATTGAAGCTCCTAGATCTAACATAGCATGTTCAAATTTAGTATTGCCTATAACACATGGAATTGTAAAACTACCCGGATCCTTGCATTTAGGGGGTAGTTTTCTTTGCAAAACAGCGGAAACATTCTCACTTACCTGGACCACCTCTTTGTTCGAAATTCTCCTTCTTGTTGTGCATAGTTCCTTCAAAAACTTGGCGTACCTAGGTACTTGCTTAATTGCGTCAAGAAGAGGTATATTGACTTGCACTTTCCGAAATGTCTCCAAAATGTCTTTCTCGGTCTCCTCCTTCTTGGATTGCTTCAACCTGCTAGGAAAAGGCACGTTTAATGGAATAGAACTAGACAAATTCGGTTTTGAGCTTACCTTGGCCGAATTAAGTGCAAGATGGCTGCGGCAAAGGATGGTCCATCCTTGCCGTGGTTGAGGTTTGGGGTTCTTCTTCAAACGATAGCTTTTCATCCTCTGTTTGACTTGAATTGGATGCTAGGGGTTTGGTTCCAACTTGTTTGCCACTCCTTAATGTAATTGCTTTGGCGGTTTCGAATCCCCCTTTTGGATTTGCAACGGTTGAACTAGGGAGTCTTCCTTGGTCTCGAAATTGTCTCATAAACTCGGCAATTTGCCCCACTTGCTTCTCCAACTCGTCCAACTTCTTGTCCCTAGTCTGCATGCCCTGCGCCATAGAAGTTAGTAAATTAAAAATTTGATCATTATCAATAGAAGAACCTGATTTTTGGGCGGGTTGTGCTTGGGTTTGATTTGGTGCAAACGGCTTTTGATAGAAACCCGGGGGTTGTTGCCTAAACGTGCTTTGTTGTTGGCCTTGTTGGGGTTCTCGCCATTTGAAATTTGGATGATCACGCCAACCAGGATTGTAGGTGTTAGAAAAGGGATCATTCCTTTGTTGGTATTGTTGCCCAAAGCCCACGGCATTGAGGGTCTCCCACCCTCCGTTCTCGATCAATTGTGGGCATTTGTCCGTAGGGTGTCCTTGCATGGAGCATACGCCACACGTACTTACATTTTGAACTTTTGGCCCTTCCACAACCTGAGAAAGCAAAGTAGTAAGGTTAGCCATTTGATTTTGAAGTTCGGTTATGGCACTTACCTCATTCACTTGGTGTTGCCGTGGGGTGCCTCTTTGTCCAACACCCTCGTATTGTTGAGCGTTCAACGCTCGATTTGCAATCAAGGTCTTTGCTGCCGTGGGGGTCTTGTCCACCAATGCTCCTCCCGCCGAGGCATCTAGCATTTGTCGTTCGATTGGTAGAAGTCCCTCGTAGAAGTATTGTAGAAGAAGCTCCTCCTTCATTTGATGCTGTGGACAAGAAGCAACAAGTGATTTAAAACGTTCATAATATGTAGGAAAAGACTCACCTTCTTCTTGTTGAATTCCACTTATCCTTTTTCGTAGGAGGATGACTCGAGAAGTTGGAAAAAACTTCTCCAAGAAAGCTCTTTTCATGCTCTCCCAAGATGTGACCGTTCCGGGAGCTAATTCATACAACCAATCTTTCGCCTTTTCCATGAGAGAAAAGGGAAAAGCCTTCATCTTCAATATACTCCCGTCGATATTGATTGGAGTCATGCTTGAACACACCACCTCAAATTCTTTTAAGTGCTTGTTAGGATCCTCCATGGACAACCCATGGTACTTCGGAATATGGTGGAGCAAACTTGACTTTAACTCGAATTCCTCGGTCTTTCCTTGGGCAGCCGCCGGATATTGAATACATAGAGGTGCGGCATTGTCCAATCCCGAAGCCGAGAGCTCCTTGATTGTACGATTGTCTTGTGCCATGACTGTCTCAACTTCACCCACTTGTGCCGTGGGTTCCTCTTCCTCAATCTCAACTTCGACTTCTGAATTTGAACTTGATTCACTAGGTTCTGGATTCTTCCTCTTTCGTCTCAACTCTCGTTCAAAATCGTCGTCAAAGTCCAAGATGTGTTCACGAACCGGATGAGAGCTCCGAGTCATAAACTAGTACCTAAAAACACAAAACAAAAACAAAGTAAAAATCTGGACTCAAATAAACTAGTATTCCCGCCTGTCACGCGGGTGACCCGGGTTCGATCCCCGGCAACGGCGCCAAAATTTGATGTGAAAATTATGTTGACACACAAATTAACCCTCTTTTTATCGATTGTAGTAAGTATGTAAGTAGGGATCGTTCTAGGCCGGGGATTAGGAGGGATTGCTAAATCACTTGAAAACTGACTCAAATACGTAAAAACAAGTTTAAAACACTAAACTAGACTCAAAGAATGCAAAACTAAACTTTAAAACACCAAAACAAACAAAAAGACTCAAAACAGCAAACAAACACTCAAAACTGCCTTAAAACACTTTCTGGGCAGTTTCTGACACTAAACACCAAATTGGACGAATTTGGGTTTTAACTAGAATCAAAACACTTAAAAACACAAAGTAAAACACTTACTAACTAAATTGACACTTTAAAACAAAGGGGGAATTGGTTTGGACGAATTTAAAACAAGACATAAACTTTGTAAACAAAACAGTTTTGAAAACGAATTTGATTTAAATGAATGGATGGAAGGCTAGCTAAGGGGTTCATCTCCACACATGTTATACTTGCATACAAAACGATTCCCAATTGCTTTTCAATAAACCATGAATTCTCAACGCCCCAAGTTAATTAGGTCCGCTTAAATTAACCCTCAGATTTTCCTTAAGTTATTGAATTGGATGAATTGCATACGACAACCCAAAGCATTCCCCACAAGTCCCCTACATGATTGCATAATAGAGATACACGCAAGAATCATTAAGTTCTATGAAAACCATAAGCATTGACGAAGCACTTGTTACTATGATTGCATGAAACTTATGCCAAGAATTTACTTAACACGATTGTGATCAACAACCTTTACTACTTGTGAATATAAGTTCATAACGATTAGGTGAAATTCCCTTATATCCTAGCATCAAATTCATGCATGCAAACTAAGTGTCGACCCTCAATCAACATACAAGAATAAGTTTTAATTCACATAGATAAGCAAATTGAACTCACAACTTATGAAACGCAATTAGAAGTAATCAAATCATATAGCAAGCATAAACATGGTTTCGAATCCCCCCCTAGCCAAGGGGGTTTAGTTCCTCATACTCGCAAATAAACAAAGATAAATAAATTTAAACATTAAAACAAAGATATAAAACACCTAGAAACGCTCCACAATCCAAGCTCCTTGAATGGCATGCACAGCTCCAAGAGTTCTTCCTTCTTCTCCTTTGCAAACTCACGGCACAAGAGGTATATTTAGGTGAATGGTGTAGTGAAAATATGGTAGAGGATGGTGACTAAATGGTGCAGCAAAAGATGGTATTTATAGGCTGAAATTCGCAGCCCCTATGTAGCAAAGGAAAATGATTTAAAGGCCTAATTTGTATAGGATAATAACACACAATCCTTGAAGGAAAAGGCTAAGGCTTTTAGAAACCAAGGGGGAAAGGAATAATCAGGTTTCTAGAAGTTCTAGAAAGGTTTGAGGCGTCACTTTTGTAGGACAAGGGATAAGGTCTTCTAGAAAGGTTGTTTTGTGGCTGATTTCTAGAAAAACAAGGGATAAGGTATGGCACCTTTGTAGGAGTGGATAAGGGCTTCTAAAAACCAATTTTAATGTGTCCTAATCTAGTTAGAAACCCTCCTAAGTGGCTGAAATGTGGATAGTTTAGGATTAGGATAAGATAGGATAGGATAAGGTTTGTTTGGATAAGTTAAGCTAAGATAAGGTTATGGATGAGGTTTTGGATAAGATTCCTTCTCTTGAGCTGATTCTTTGACTTTAACTCTTTTTCTTCACATAGGAAACCTTGCTTGAGTAGGAAACTTCATGTGTCTAGGAATCCATCTTCAATTAGGACTCCTACATTGATTAGGAATCCTTCTTTATTTAGGAATCCTTCATTTAAGCCCTTTACTACTTCAACTAGGAAACTTTGTATCTTCAATTCTTCAACTTCAAAACACATTCCTAGCTTCATCAATCCTTCAAATTCGTCCATCCCTTGTGCTACATATGCATGAACTCCATTCTAGCCCAATTTTGCTCCAAAATGCTCCAAATTGCTTCCTTTTGCTCACTTTGTCTCTAAAACCTGAAAACACATGAAAATAGCTTAAAAGACTAACTTAACTAAGAAAACACAACATAAATGCATAAGAACTAACTAACTAAGGCACATAAATATGCTCCTATCAGGAAGATCCCAACATGGCAGCGGATAATCGAACAATCAAGGAGCTTTCCGCTTCAGGATTGAACAATGCCGCTCCCCTATGCATCCAATACCCCCTGGCTGCCTTAGTGAAGAAGGATGAGTTCGAATTGAAATCAAGTTTGTTGCATCACATCCCTAAGTTCCACAGGATGTCCATGGAAGATCCTAATAAACACTTGAAGGAGTTCGAGGTTGTTTGTTCGAGCATGACCCTTGTGAATGTTGATGGGAGCATTCTGAAAATGAAGGCTTTTCCCTTTTCTCTCTTAGAAAAGGCTAAAGAATTGTGTTGTATGAGCTAGCCCCCGGAACTGTCACATCATGGGAGAGTATGAAAATGGGCATTTTTGGAGAAGTTTTTCCCAACCTCTCGAGTCATTCTACTACTAATGCGTAAAATAACTAAACACACAAATTAAACCCTCTTGTTGACAATTGTAGTATGGATAAGTAGGGATCGTTCTTAAACCGGGGATTAGGAGGGATTGCTAAACACTCTAAACTGACTCAAATACATAAAACAAAGTTTAAAACACTAAACTAGACTCAAAGAATGCAAACTACTAACTCTAAAACACTAAAACAAACCAAAAGACTCAAAACAGCACACAAAAACACTCAAAACTGCCTTAAAAACACTTTTTGGGCAGTTTTGAATACTAACACAAACTTGGACGAAATTTGGTTTTCTCTAATGACTTAAAACACTCAAAAACATAATCTAAGACAAGTTCTAACTAATATGACTCAAAGAAATAAGGTGGGGTTGATTTTGGACGAAAATAAGTAAATTAAGACAAGAACAATGTAAACAGATTCTTAGACAAAACTAGGTGAATTGATGGGTGATAGACCAACTAGAGGGTTCTTCTCCACACATGATACACTTGCATACAAAGTTGATTTCCAATTGCTTCCTTCAACAAATCATGAACCTCAATGCCATAGGTTAACTGTGATAGCACTTTTTTAACCTTCAAGTCTTCCTTAAGTTATTGAATTGGATGGGAATGCACATACAACAACTCAAAACATTCTCTAAAAGTCCCTTACGTGAAAAGCACAATAAAGGTACAATCAAAGATCATTAAACTTCATGAAAACTATAAGCATTGACGAGGCAATTGTTACTATGAAAAGCATGAAACGTTTGCCAAGAATAAGCGACCTCCACTACTTGCAAATATAAGGTTGTAACTATTAGGTGAAACTTCCTTATATTTTAGCTTCAAATTCCTGCATGAAAACTAAGTTGGCCACCTTAATCAACACACAAAAATAAGTCATCAATCAAACGGTTAAGCAAATTACATTCACAATTCATGAAATAACAATTAGAAGTAATCAATTCATCTTGCAAGCTTAATCATGGTATTAAATAGCCCCCTAGCCAAAAAGGCTTAGTTCCTCATGTTCATAAAACAAAGGAAAACAGATTTATACATGGTAAATATAAGAAAGAGAACACCTAAATACTCTAACGATTCAATGTTGAACAGCTAGAACCTTCAAGGTTAGGATGGAATTAAGGTTAGGATGAATGTAGGGGATGGCAAGGTTTGTTTCTGGGCAGAAAATATGATGAATGGTGAAGTATGGATGTGGTAGAGAGTGGGGATAGCTTTCTGGCATGAATGGTGAGTGAATGGATGATTTTGTGGTTGCAAAAAGGAGGTTTATTTAAAGGATTTCAGGAATTAAAACCCTAGGTTATTTAGGTAAACAGAAATTAAGTCAAAAGCTTCTAGAAATAGGAAACCAAATCAGAAACTTAAAGGAACTTGACTAATAGGTGCGGCAAGGCATTTAAAACACAATAGGAATGTGTTTTAATGCAAGGAAATAGGAAAGAACCCTCTCCCTTGCACGGCAAGGAAGAGGAAAGGTTAAGGGGGTGCAGCTGTGATGTAGGAAAGGTTTAAGGAAAGGTTTAAATGTCCTAAAACTGAAGGGAAAGGGTTCCCTTGCACGGCAAGGAAGAGGGGATTGTGGAAAGGGCATGTGAGGTGCGGCATTGACTTAGACCATGCAAGAAATGTGTGCTTGATGTCCTAGAATACTTAGGAGGCCTTCAAAGTTGATAAAACTTAGGGACACTTAGGAAAGGTCAAACCAAAGTAGGAAACCTTGGCTTAACTTTCCTATTTCAAGTAGGAATCCTTCTTGGAGTAGGAATCCTCATTTTTCTAGGAATCCTCATTTGATTAGGAATCCATCTTCAATTAGGAATCCTTCGTTGATTAGGAATTCTTCGTTGATTAGGAATCCAAACTTCTTCAAATCTTCAATTACGTCCATTCCTTTTGCTCCAAGCTTGTGATAATCATTCCAAGCCCAATTTTCTCCAAAAGGCACCAAATTGCATTCTTTGCCCTTAGAATCTGAAAACACACAAAAGTGACTTTAAACACTAAAATAACTAAGGAAACACA